ACTCACAGCTCCCAGCACAACTGTAAGTAAAAGCCTCTGCTCCTATTCTAGTGGATTTATTGGTTGAAAGCTTCACTTTTGACCAATAATAAACTTGCAGGTAACCTGTCTCTCTTTCCAGCTTGGAATGACAGATCGGGTCATCTGCCAACCAACGAGAAGTGTTGAAGGAGAAGGACTTTTGCAAAAGTTCGGAGACATCACTTTTTGGATCTACCTACCTGATTAACTGTAGGCGACAGCAGACAACCCCTCATCTTTGTAGTGGTAAAGAACCTGCTTTTCTGTCATCTGGACTGACTATTCAAGGCTATAGACTCTGTGAAGAACTAGTCGTTGGGTTGTCACCAACACCTGTGACCCCCCACATCATCAGCAACGGCTACAATTTCTACAAGACAGTGTCAACCTCCACCAGACACCCCAGTATAATTGTACATATTAGCGTTGAATTCAAATGTCATTTTTTCATTTAATTTTTCATTTTTCTTTAAAGTAGGATACACCTTCATATTTCAATGTTTTATCTTTGCATTAATAAATAATAAAGTGTTTATCTTTGTGAATTATTTCTTTTTCTATTCATTAATTTTCCTGAGGAGGAGCCAGCCTTGGTAATACTGTCTGAAGTTGTTACAGGGCTGAGTAAGCCTTCACAAGTGGCGACCTTGCCAGGATCAACTCTACTGAATCAAGATTCAACTCCATCTCGAATCTACCATTGAAACTTCAACGCCGCATACCACAGATGGTTACCACCAGCCATGAGTAATCATTCTCTATGGTAGGACTACAGTACAGGTATTTAAAAGATTTGGTGATTGTTATAGTCTCAGTTTATTGTAAGTCAAGTCAAGGCAGGATATACTAGTTAATTCTGTCACCTTTATTTTTGAGCTTGAAACGATTTGGAGGAATAGACTCTAGGGACCCAAGATTTTCCAGTGACAAATTGTTTCATTGAGCTCTTTATTATAACAAGGGAACTGTTGTAGGACACTCTTGATTTTTTGTTGGTGAGAAGATTGGATGGTCAAGGGACCCCATTCTACTTACCGTTTGCTCGGAGCCGGCATAGAACCCTCCGTTTTCATTCACATATACTGTTTAATCGAAGCAGGGATCGAACCCTCCGATTTATTTACAGTTTGAGCGGAGCAGGAATTGAACCCTCCATTTTCTTTGATATATCCGTTTCATTTTCCCCTGGTAGTTTAAGTTATTCTTGCAAGTATGGAGGAATACCAGTTTTGGATGAATGCTGGGAGTAAGTTAGGAATAACGGGGAAAAATTTAGAAGCTTTCATTAGTGCTAAGATCCAGGAAAGAATTGAAAAGGAGAGAGAAAGAATAGAGAGAGAGAACCAAGAAAGACAGTTAGAAAGAGAAAGAGAGGAGAAAAAGGAGAGAGAATGAATAGAGAGAGAGGAGAAAAAGGAGAGAGAGAAATCGAAAGAGAGGATAAAAAGGAGAGAGAACGAATTGAAAGAGAAAATCAAGAAAGAGAGAGGAGAAAAAGGAGTGTGATAGACTTGAGGAGAGAGCTAAAGTACGTGAGGAACAAGTTAAATTAAGAGAACTTGAGGAAAGAGCAAAGGATAGAGAAGTTGAGGAAAGAGCTAGAGAACGTGAGGAAAGAACGTGAGTTGATCTTGTTGAGCAAGTTGGATCCTGTGGTACACCAGTGCCCAGGGGTCTTGTTGAGCAAGTTGGATCCTGTGGTACACCAGTGCCCAGGGTCTTGTTGAGCAAGTTGGATCCTGTGGTTCACCAGTGCCCAGGGGTCTTGTTGAGCAAGTTGGATCCTGTGGTACACCAGTGCCCAGGGGTCTTGTTGAGCAAGTTGGATCCTGTGGTACACCAGTGCCCAGGGGTCTTGTTGAGCAAGTTGGATCCTGTGGTACACCAGTGCCCAGGGGTCTTGTTGAGGAAGTTGGATCCTTGACAGAGACGTATTCAAATCAAACCAAATCAAAGTTTATTCTGTATAAGGATTACAATGCGGGGTTTACAGATTTTGGTTATTGTGTGGTTTACATGTAATAAAATACTAATTACAGAGGGGGCCACTAGAACACCTAGCATGGCTAGGCATTTCGGGCAAACTTAGATTAATTCTTAACCCTAAATTATTATAAATTGTGGAGTAAGTTGACTAAATACTAAGTGACTAAATACTAAGTGACTAAACTAGTTTGAGTATAGCAATGTGAATGATTTTGTTTTGGCACAATACATAATTTCTATATTGGAGTATCACAGGCAAACTTGTGACTAGTTAGGAATCATTATTTTAAGATTAAGATACATATTTCTGTTTTCTAACGGTAGTTTTGAAGGAGATGAATGTGTCTGCAGTTCTAGAGTTTTCAGATAGGGTGTTCCAGATTTTAGGGCCTTTGACATACATTGAATTTTTGTAAAGGTATAGTCGGACACGGGGAATGTCATAGTGATGTTTGTGTCTGGTGTTATGCTTGTGGGTCCTGTCACAACTATAAAGAAAGCATTTTAGGTCAAGGTTAATATTGGAATTTAAGGTCCTGTATATGTAGACTGCACAGTAGTAAGTGTGGATGTTCTGAACATGGAGTAAGTTTAGACCTATGAAGAGTGGGGGGGATGTTGCCAGGGATGGGATTTAGTGATAATTCTTACTGCGGCTTTTTGTTGAGTTATTATTGGCTTTAGGTGTATTGCTGCAGTTGATCCCCAAGCACAAATAGCATAGGTGAGGTATGGATAAATGAGTGAATGGTATAGTGTGAGAAGAGCAGTTTGCGGCACGTAGTATCGTATCTTGGAGAGGATCCCAACTGTTTTGGAAACTTTTTTTGATATGTGTTGGATATGGGTACTGAAATTCAGATTGTTGTCGAGGTATAGGCCTAGGAATTTGCCCTCATTATGTCTGGCAATTAGAGTGTTGTCGATCTTAATGTTTAGTTGCGCAACACATGCTCTGTTACCAAACATAATATAGTAGGTTTTGTAAGTGTTAAGTGTAAGTTTATTGGTTGATATTTTGAGCAGTTCCTCATTAACAATGGTGTTGAGGGTTGCAAGATTAGAGTGAGAGATGACATAAGTCGTGTCGTCAGCAAAGAGAATGGGTTTCAGGTGTTGGGATATGTTTGGAAGATCATTGAAGTAAATGAGGAAGAGCAGGGGACCAAGGACACTTCCCTGCGGAACTCCAGTATCAAGTGGCCGTGTTGATGATGCCGTGTCTTTAATGGTGACATACTGATACCTATTAGTAAGGTAGGATTTGAAATAAGCAAGCTCATGGCCTCTTATACCATAATGGTCAAGTTTGTGCAGTAGGATGCCGTGGTCTACTGTGTCAAAAGCTTTTCATAGGTCAATAAAAATTCCTAGCGGATATTCCTTATTTTCCAATGCTGTGTAAAGCAGATCTAGCATTTTTACAATTGCATCATTAGTATGTATGTATGTTTTGTGCAGTTATAAATGAATACAGTTTCCTGTGCACGAGTTTCTCAAAGATTTTGGATAGCCATGGTAAGTTTGATATTGGCCTATAGTTGTTTACATCTGTAGGGTCACCACCTTTATGTACTGCTTTCTATCAGTTAGTTACGACTTGATATATGCATGTGCATGACCTCTTATACCATAATGATCAAGCTTGAGGATCTACTGCTGTGTAAAGTACGTCTAGCATTTTTATTATTGCTTCATTTGTGCTTTTGTTTCTCCTGAAGCCCAACTGGCAGGGGATGAAGATGCTTTGTGATGTTATGAAGGAGTATAACCTTTTGTGTACGAGTTTCTCAAAGATTTTTGGAAAGTAAAAGAAAGTTTGATATTGACCTATAAATGTTTACATCTGTTGGGTCACCACCTTTGTGTACTGTTGTAATCCTTGCTAGTTTGAGTGATGCCGGGAAAGTGTTGGTTTCTAGTGATTTGTTGAAGAGTAATGCAACGGTGGGTGAAAGGATCAGAGCCACTCAATTATACAGTAGTGGTGCTACTTGGGTTACATTAATAATCATGGCAACCTCAGTGGGCTCTGTAAGACAAAGTGATGTTGGGAAGTTTCCGTCTAGACAATCCTTAGCTCGGGCATTGGTAATTGGAATTTTACTGGCGAGATTTGATCCTATGGTTGAGAAGTCATTTAACTTGTTAGCTGTATCAATTGGCTAGAGTTTCTGTTTGTTTGGTTTAGTTAGTATAACATTACTATCTCTGTTTGGTTTGTGGCGCCCAGGATCTAGGACAAGTGTCTTCCAGATCTTTTTCATGTCTCCTCTCTTTTCAGTGAATCTATTAGAATAGTGAAGTGGCTTGAACTTTCTGATTAAGTTGGTGAGGACTGACTTATAGTGCTTGATAAATTGTTTAGTTATTAAGCCCCCTCTATATTATTTCCTATATTGATGTTTCATGTTGATGCACCTTAGGATGTTGTTAGTAAGCCATGGGCAACTTAGTCGTTTATTGGTGATCCGTTTAGCTTTTATGGGAAAAATTATGTTATATAGTCCTTGAATTTTGTTCAGAAATATCCCTACCCATTCATCGATACCAGCGGAATAGGAAAATTCTGTAGGCCAGTCAACTGAGCTTAGTTCTGCAGTGAAGTTACTTATTGATGACTTATCATGGAGCCGAAAGGAGAACTTATTATATTCCATTGGTTGCTTATAAATGTTTGTTAGGAGGAAAGTTGAGAAGTCGTCAGTAATGCTGGTCGTGATTATCCCCACTTTAAGGGGTGCTAGTATGTTTGTCCATATATGGTCAATTATGGTTGCACTTGTCACAGTCTTGTTGGTTTTGTAAATGCTGGTATGAGTACTGTATTGTTTATATTGTTAACGAAGTCAGTAACAAGTTGGGTTGGTCAAATGTTTGTTATTGGGATGATTTGTAAAGGACCTGCCTAGTATGGGCCAACAGGCCTGCTGCAGTGTTCCTCCTTTCTTATGTTCTTATGTTTAAAACATTTTTTTTAATTCCAGTGTCACTACAAACATGAGAAGCACCAACCTGTAAAACTCTCTATCGTCTTTGTACCACTTGACGGAGTAGAGCGGCTCAGTACCCCGGTCATACATACACTGTAGCTCTGCATCCTCCCCTCTGAACTTATATACGGGCACCTCTATACCGTAGAGTGTCAGGTGAGTGCTATCCTTGGCCACCTCGTGGACGATACTGAGGGAGCCTATTCTATCCCGGCTACGGCTCTTTGAGGAAGCAGAGGATGACGCAGAAGCGGAAGAAGTGTAGGAAGGATAGGAGGCAGCCTTGGCCGAGTTCACCACCCGGTGTTGGAGTCCTACTGAGCTAGATGTAAGACCCAGACACAGACCAGCGCGTCCTACAAGGAAAATGTATTTGTTAATTAATGATATAGCTGTATATCTGTAAGACATATAAAACACTAGAAGCGTTTATTACAGTCATTATCAGCTTACTACCAAAATTATCAACTTGCTGCTATAGCGAATAATTGAAAATAATTTACCATTAATTCATTCAACTTAATAACTAAAAGTTAAGAAAGAATTTTCTACTATTTAGGCCAAAAAACAAGTGGAACAATCATCCATATTGGAGAGAAGTCGTGAGCTCGGCCAGTGACTGTCATCAAGTGACTGTCATCAAGTGACTGTCATCAAGTGACTGTCATCAAGTGACTGTCATCAAGTGACTGTCATCAAGTGACTGTCATCAAGTGACTGTCATCAAGTGACAGTCACTTAACCCACCAGCGTCAAGAGGTTATTTTGTAAATGAATAAAACGTTAATTAGATTAACTTAGACATTACTGTACACTTACCTATTTGTACTAACCTATTTGTGGTTGCAGGGGTCGATTCGCAGCTCCTGGCCCTGCCTGTTTGCTGGTCACTACTAGGTTCACTATCTGCTCCATGATAATTATCGTATCTCTTCTTGAAACTATGTATGGATCCTGCCTCCACTACATTGTTTCACTTCCTAACAACTCTATGGCTGAAGAAATACTTCCTAACATCTCAGTGACTCACGTGAGTCTTCAACCTTCAGTTGTGACGTCTAGTTGCTGTGTTCCATCTCTGAAACATCCTGTCCCAATCTACTTTTTTCAGTTCCTCTCAATATTTTATGTCGTTATCATGTTCTACTGTCTACTCCTGTCCTCCAGTGTCGTCAGTTTGATTTCCCTTAACTTCTCCTCGTAGGACATACAACTTAGCTCCGTGACTAGTCTTTTTGCAAATCTTTGCATTTTCTCAAATTTCTTGACATGCTCGACCAGGTGGGGGTTTCATACTGGTGCTGCATACTCCAATATGGCCCTGACGTACACGGTGCAGAGTTTCAAAAGATTCCGTGCTAAGGTATGGAAACACTATTCTTAGGTTTGCCAGGCGCCCATATGCTTCAGCAGTTATTTGGTTGATGTTCGCCTCAGGAGACGTGCTAGGAATTATACTCACCCAAAGATCCTTTTCCTTGAGTACGGTTTACAGTCTTTGCTCTTTTGCACTTTTGTAGATGAATGGTTCAGAGAACCGACATGTTGATAAATTTGACACATATGCAACTCTTGGGTATCTTTATTGAGGAAACGTTTCGCCACACAGTGGCTTCGCTTGCCTAATTCTTGGGCATGACCTACTTCCACATTGAACAAATGTGACACCACCTATGACTGCTGCACCTCTCCTGCCATACGGTTTATAAGCTGCTTCTCCGCTGATATGCCGTATTCTATTCAAGATTGATGGACTGAACACATCGACTCAAGGCTGAGGGACTGATTACCTCATTCTTCTCCTGTTCTTCAAGTTTCTCCTACGTATGGACTCATGAAGCCACTGAGTGGCGAAACGTTTCCTCAATAAAGATACCCAAGAGTTGCATATGTGTCAAATTTATCATCTTTGACTTTGCACTTGATGAGGTTAAACTCCAGGAGCCAGTTGTTGGACCATCCTTGCAGCCTGTTCAGATCCTTTTGTAGTTCTACCTCACCCTCATCAACTTGAATTATCCGCATTAGCCTCATAACGTCTGCAAACAGGGTGACCTCTGAAACTGTCCCTTCAATTAAGTCATTCACATATACCAGAAACACCACCGGCCCTAGAATTGACACTGGTGGAAACCCGCTCCTCACAGGCGCCCACTCTGACACCTCATCACGTACCATCCCTCGATGTTTCCTTTCTGATCCATTACAGCACCTTTCCAGCCAGCTCCTCCAGCTTTTGCACTAATCTTTTGTATGGAACTGTGTTGCAGACCTTACAGTTCAAGAAAATATAATCTACCCACCCCTCTCTCTCCTGCCTTACTTCTGTCACCTTTTAGTAAAACTCCAATAGGTTTGTGACAGAGGATTTCCTCTCTTTGAAACCTTGCTGGTTATCATGAATAAGTTCATTCCTTTCTAGGTGCTCGACCAGTCTCTTTCTGATAAGATTCTCCATGACAGACCAATGATACTGGTTTGTAGTTTAATGCTACCTGCCTGTCTCCTTTCTTAAAGATAGGGACTACATTAGCTGTCTCCCACACTTCAGGTAGTTGCCCCTTTTCGACAGATGTGTTGAAGATTGTTGTTAGTGTCACATACCTCGTCTCTGCTCCCTCTCTTAGGAACCATAGATAGATGTTGTTCAATCCTCACCGCCTTTGAGGTATTTAGTTCACAGTCCAACATCTGTTGATGTACCCTACTGTAGTCCAGGCTGTCTAAACTGAAAATACTTCCTTAAGTCTCGTGTTTATCTCTTTACATACTTCTCCGTCGTTTCTTGTAAATTCTCCTCCTTCCTTCACTTTTCAACCTGATTACCTGGTCCTTGAACATTGTTTTCCTCCTGATGTGGCTGTACAACAGCTTCGGATCAGATTTGACTTTCGATGCTATGTCATTTTTGTACTGCTGCTTGGTCTCCCTCCTTATCCATGCTAATTCGTTTCTGGCTTTTCGAATAATCTCCCGACTCACAAAATTGTAATGACACGATTGCTAACAAACGGGCGGGGATTGAACTCCTTATTTTCTTCGGACTTTTGTCTTTTATACTTTTTCCATTCTCTAACGCACATCTTTAGGTGAACCAAGAGCTTGTTTTGGTCTCTCCATTTTTTTCTGTTGCCCTTGGGAACGAACTTCTCCTCCACCTCTTTGCATTTTGTGGTCATGCATTCCATCATTTCATTCATTATTTTTCCCACAAGTTCTCTCTCCTACTATTCCTCATGCAGGAAATTTCTCGTACCTGTGTTGTCTCCTCTTTTGTAGTTTGGCTTCTCCCATCCTACTCAAGTTTTTTCCCTCTCTACTTTAAGGTCTACAATGTATTCAAAGCTCAGGACCACCTTATCACTAGCTCCAAGTGGCCTTTCATATGTGATATACCCAATGTCTAAGCTACTCAAGGTGAATATGAGATCCAGCTATGTTGGTCCATCCTCTCCTTTCTTCCTGGTTGTGTCCCTAACAGGTTGATGCATGAGGTTTTCCAGTGCCACTTGCATCATCTTGGCCCTCCAGGTTTCTGGTCCCCTATGTGGCTCCAGGTTTTCCTAGTCAATTTCCTTGTGATTGAAATAACCCATTACTAGTAACTTTGTCCTGCCCATGTAGGTCCTTCTGGCAATCTCAGCTAGTTTCTCAACCATTGCTCTATTGTTATCATCGTACTCTTGTCTTGGCCTCTTGCTATTCATTGGCGGGTTTTACATCAGTGTAATCACCACCTTGGAAACCCCAGTCTGAAGTGTTCCTACCATGTAGTCCCTTGCTTCCCCTCTGTATGCTCCTTCCAACTCCTCAGAACTCCACTATTTTTTATGAGCATTGCAGTTCCTCCTCCCCCTTTGTTCCCTCTGTCGTTCCTCATGATCTGATATTAGGTTGGAAAGATCTCAACTGATCTCGGCCTGGTGATGGATCAGGTGTTTTGGTTCATTCAGTGTCCCGGTGATGGACCAGGTGCTTTGGCTTCCTCAGTACTTTGGTGATGGACCAGGTGATTTGGCTTCCTCAGTACTTTGGTGATGGACCAGGTGCTTTGGCTTCCTCAGTACTTTGGTGATGGAGTAACTGTTTCAGCTCTTTCAAAGGCTTGGTGATGGACCAGGTGCTTCAGCTCATTCAGTACCTTGGTGATGAACCAGGTGATTCAGCTCATTCAGTGCCCTGGTGATGGACCAGGTGCTTCAGCTCATTCAGTACCTTGGTGATGAACCAGGTGATTCAGCTCATTCAGTGCCCTGGTGATGGACCAGGTGCTTCAGCTCATTCAGTACCTTGGTGATGAACCAGGTGATTCAGCTCATTCAGTGCCCTGGTGATGGACCAGGTGCTTCAGCTCATTCAGTGCCCTGGTGATGAACCAGGTGATTCAGCTCATTCAGTGCCCTGGTGATGAACCAGGTGATTCAGCTCATTCAGTGCCCTGGTGATGGACCAGGTACTTCAGCTCATTCAGTGCCCTGGTGATGGACCAGGTACTTCAGCTCATTCAGTGCCCTGGTGATGGACCAGGTACTTCAGCTCATTCAGTGCCCTGATGGACCAGGTGCTTCAGCTCATTCAGTGCCCTGGTGATGGACCAGGTGCTTCAGCTCATTCAGTGCCCTGGTGATGAACCAGGTGATTCAGCTCATTCAGTGCCCTGGTGATGGACCAGGTACTTCAGCTCATTCAGTGCCCTGGTGATGGACCAGGTGCTTCAGCTCATTCAGTGCCCTGGTGATGGACCAGGTGCTTCAGCTCATTCAGTGCCCTGTGATGGACCAGTGCTTCAGCTCATTCAGTGCCCTGGTGATGGACCAGGTGCTTCAGCTCATTCAGTGCCCTGGTGATGGACCAGGTGCTTCAGCTCATTCAGTGCCCTGGTGATGGACCAGGTGCTTCATCTCCATTGGTGCTCATGTGATGGATCAGGTGCTTCAGCTCCTTCAGTATACTTTTTAACAACGCCCTGATTATCAAAACTCATTCCTATGGATGGAGTTAAAGGTGGGTTGGGCAGGTGGTTTTGTTCGTGGGTTTGGTTTTGGGTTTGAAGGGAATTTGCCTAGTGTGAGCCGGTTGGTCTGTTGCAGTGTTATTTCTTAGTGTGTTCTTATGAGTGAGAGGGGTTGGATTCGAGCGGGACTTGCACATTGGTTGAGAAGGGGGATATTATCTGGACTTGTTGCTTGGGTGGCGCTGGAGATGGGTTGGGCAAATATTTTTGTTGGTTAGTTGGTTCTGAAATGGCCTTGCCAAGTATGGGTCAGTAAGCCTGTTGCTTCCTGGGTGTGCATTATTCCAGCCATGGAATTGTGACATGTCGAGTAATTGCGAGTTGTACCATCGACAGTGCTGTGACTTTACGAGCTAGTTGTTAAGTGTTCCAGCAACTGCAATGTGAATGAGGACTAGTTTTGGATTCTTCCAACATCATCTATTTGCTCTTGTAGACTA